TTTTGTGTATCGTTGCACCCCTAGTAAGCAGATACGTAGGCTGCTCGTGATTGTTTTTGCTATTATTGTTCATTTTGCACCTGTTACAGAAAAGACAAAAGTCACAATGGATGAAGAAGTTGTTTGTGTTTGAGTGAAGCTGTTAAAAGTAACAATTTAACCTTGGAGTGCTTTCAGACTACGAGACTGTTGCACTGTTTTTGTACTTCTTCCTTGGATAACAAATCGACTGTGGTGTGTTTCTATTCAAGCTTTCAGCTTACTATTTGACTTTGAGCAGAAGCGATGAGGCTTTGGCTTGTTGTTGTTCTCCACAGCCTCTGCACTGGTTCAGTTCCCATAATTAGTGTCTCCCAGTAGATAAACTGATAGAAACACAGGATCATATATCAATTTTTGGTTTTCCGCCTTAAATCTATTTAATACTAACATGGTGCCTGTACTTGTGCTTAGTAAATGTGGGCAAAGAAATATGGAGTGAATCTACCAATAATTGATGAGTTTCTGGTGGCCGCTCTTCCCACGGCCATCGGTGGCTCCACTGTGTCAGTGCAAAAGGGGTAAAAGACCGCAGACAAACATTAGGGCCAGTAAATGTAGTGTTGTTTACATCAGATACGTTAATAATGTTAAGATCTAAACCAGTGAAATGCTTCTCATTTGTTTGATTCTTCTTGTTTCCTGACAAACACGTGTCTATACCATGAAGGTAAGTGTGGTAGGTGACGTTTGTTAACTGTCTGATGTTTGAGACGTGTTTTCATTTGAAGTGTTTGTTGCCACACAGGATCATGCAATTCCTCTTGAACAAGAAGCGGTTTAAGGAAACTCTGAGGCCTTATGATGTCAAAGATGTTATCGAGCAGTACTCTGCTGGACACCTGGACATGCTCTGTAGAATTAAATACCTCCAGACGAGGTGAGTTAGTCTTTTACGCACGAGGCTGATCAGTGTGAACGAAGCCAATTTTCTCTTTTCCTCATGCTCATTGTTTTTTTATTTTAAGGATTGACATGATTCTTGCCCCTGGACCTCCTCTCACCCCAAAACACAAGAAAACTCAGAAAACACCCTTTACTTACCCGCCCAACCAGTCACCCAGGTACTGCTACAGAGCTCTAAAATGTTGTAAAACAATTACAAATGAGTATAAAGGTTAGTTATATATATGTTATTTAGTTTTCGTAACAAATGTCTGTGCAGTCCACATCTACTCGATGTCCCTTTGTTCCAGGCATGAGTCCTACATAGCCAAAGCCACATCCATGCCAGATGCGGAAGACCAAAGCATGATGGGCAGATTTGTCAGGGTGGAGAGACAGGTAACAACTAAAACTACTACAGGCACATATTCTGCCAAGGTGTTCCTTCTTCAAACAAAGTAACTCTTTTTATTGTTTGAGATAAATTGGTTTGTCCGTGTTATCCCTGGGCTTAGGGTTTGAACCCCATTTAGGGTTCAATGTAATGCTGGTAAAATTTGCTAATTTAGAGAAAAACTGTCACGTTGATGAGACCAGAAACACTGGCAGACCTTTTGGAACAG